CCTTCGATCACGTCTCAAAAAACAAGCTCCTAGAAGTTATGAGATCTCAAGGCCTGCCCTGCTGTCTACTAGCCTGGACAAAGTCTTTTCTAGAGGAGAGAGTACTAGAACTGTCCTTTGACGGACAGAGTGAAGAACCGCAGGAGATCTCGACAGGAACACCTCAAGGAAGCCCAGCCTCACCTATCCTGTTTCTAATCTACTCGAAGCCGCTATTTGAGGCGATTCAGACTAGTGCGAATATCTACTCCTCCTCCTATATAGACGACCTCCAGATCTCTATATCATCTTCGTCAGTAAGGAAGAATATCAAGCTACTAGAAAAGGAGATTGAGAATCTCTTTAGACTAGCAGAAGAGTCAGCTATCCAATTCGACAGCTCAAAGACTGAACTAGTAAACTGGACACGATCTAGAAAAGATCAAAGTAGAGTACTTACTCTACCTACTCAAGAAACAGTACAGTCTAAGGAGCTAGTTAGATGGCTAGGCATCTACTTCGATAGCAGCCTTAAGTTCAAGCACCATAGCCTTATTAGAAACCAGCAGGCTAGTGCAGCCTTTCACCGCCTTAGCAGGCTAGCCAACTCAAATAAAGGCCTTTCGCCTAGAGCAGTACGACAGCTCTATCTAGCCTGCATCACTAGCGTAGCTGACTATGGCTGTCAAATCTTCTGGAAGGAGCAGCAGACAGCACTCAACCAGAGGCAGAAGCTGCAGAACCAAGCCTGCAGAAAAATTCTAGGGTCCTTTAGAACCTCACCTGCTATACCTAGCGAGGTAGAAGCAGCTCTTTACCCTCCTAGAGCTAGACTCAACAACGCCCTGCGTCAATACGCCTTTAGAGCAAGAAAACTAGCTCCTAGCCACCCTCTGAACATCGCTATCGCTAGCAATCAAGGGAAGCAGCTAGAGCGTATCACTAGATCTATCTCAACTACACTATCGGACGACAGTGAGAAGATAAAGCACTACGCCTCTATGCCATGGAGCTCAGAAATACTCTATCAGACGACTATATCTAAGAAGTCAAAGGAAATCGAAGCAAAAGAACACAAAGAACTATTAGAAGACAAATACCTCCTATCTATCTACTCAGACGCCTCAGCTACTAGCAAAGGCAAGGGTATAGGAGTAGGAGTAGCTTTCTACAAAGGAGCTAGCCTTATAGCTCAGGAAAAGGTTAATATAGGATACAACCAGCTAGTCTACAACGGAGAGCTAGAGGGTATTACCCTAGGCCTAGAGAAAGCTATCGATCTAGTAGACGACTGTCTAGAAGTCAGAGTGTACGCAGATAATCAGGCTGCAATACTCAGACTAAAGACTGCTTCTGATAACCCAGGACAAGAGTGGCAACTTAGATGTATAAGAGCAGCTAAGAAACTTAAGAAAAAAGGCCTAACACCCGCGATCCACTGGGTGCCTGGCCACCAGGATATTATAGGAAACGAGAAAGCAGACGCGCTAGCAAAGGAGGCGACAAAGCTAGATCCTAGCTCTAGTAGGACGAGTCTAGCTGTAATAGGCACACGAATAAAACAGCTAGGCGAGCGAGAGTGGCTCAGCTATCTAGAACAATATAGGAGGAAGGCTATTGCCCTCAACTCTACTACTTATGCTGCAAGGTATAAGTGGAAGACTAGGAAGCAGATTGCCACTCCTCCTCTTACTAGTAGAGAAGTCTCTAGCGCCTTCTTTCAACTTAAGCTAGGCCACTGTTACCTAAGAGACTTTCTCTTTACGCGAGACAAAGTAGACTCTAAAGTTTGCCCCTGCAACTATAGAGCTACTCAAGATCCTACCCATATCCTCCTTAGCTGTACGCTATATAAGGAGGCTAGGATAAAGATGCAGGAGGCGAGCAAGGACCCCCTATCGCTAGCCTTCCTGCTAAACACGAGCGTAGGCATACAGGCTACTATTGCCTTTATTGAAGAAACTAGGGCTGCAACACAGGCCTGGCACAAAGGAAACCTCGAGAACTAGGGCAACACCTATACTAGGTGGCCTCGCCCTACACCCACCCTACCTCTCTCTTTTACCCGCAAGACCCCCTTCTACCTCCCTCTAGACTAGGCTACGAGCCTCACCTCGATTTAGATAGCCCCCTCCCCCCACCTACACCAAAGTGATAGCACTA